AGTTCTAGAAACTAGAGGGCGCCACAGTGGTCACGTGACTCGTTGACGCAACAATATACATCACGTGAAACGAGAATCTAATATTGTTGTAACAAGCAGGCTTGAGGACGTTGCTGAAATTCGTAAAATGAAATACGGATTTTATTCTGAGTAGTCAGAAAATTTAAAAATCAGTCAAAGTTCACAATGAAAACCCAATAAAAGGTCATGGGGAAATAGACCATACTTTGATTATAATATTAAACCCAAAATATAGCTGAAGGTTGCTTTAAATTACAAGATCTGAAAATGAAGAAAATATTTTTAATTTACAGAATATACATTATTAAAACGGTAACGTAGTTTAACATTTAAACACATTTGTGGTATATTTTTTTTATTCGTTCTTAGAACGTCAAACTTGAAATCTTTTCGATCCTGAAACTTCAACAGAGTAATCTCAAAAATTTCGAATACTAAACGCGAATTCTTGAAATGTATTATTTTCTCTCGCCTCAGTATTTCAATCATGAGATCCATTCAACCCACAGTTTTCAGAAGACCACTCAGCCCATATCTTACTGAGAACTGACTATTCAACCATTACGAAGCATCACCCATACCCAAATTTCGTAATTTATAATGGACCACTTAACCAACTTTTAAGAATAATTGATCAACCTCTATTTTTCTGATTTTACTCACAATAAACTAAACCTAATAGTTATTCTCAACTAGAAAAAACAAAGGATTGTTGGTGTTAGTTCTGATGAAAGAAATAGCCTTTTTCCATTTGCTGAACATTAGAGAATGCAGCGTCTGAAAAGGCTTACACTTGAAGCTCAGGGGGCCCATACCGTAGCTCAACGAAGATGAACCCAAAAAATAAATTCCGCAGTAAAACAATTGACGCTTAAAAAACTTCACTTATGATACATAAATATTTATAGCATTTGTTGATCAGTTTCCTTCCCTTTAGTCCAGTGTTTCTCTAATGTTGGGTAGCGAGTAGGTTTCCAGAGGGGGAGAGGGCACGAGCTATCTGCGCTAAGTCATTTTTTTAGTCCTCGAGGTGTCTGAGAGGTGCACATATCACCTTTGTTATGAACTATGACGAACTGTTTTTTTTTTCATTCTTGTACGTAGGTAATGGAGGGGGGGGGGCGGCAACGACCAAAGCCCAGACCGCGGAGTCGTCTGATAAATACGCCTGAGAAACACTGCTCTAGTCTATCGTTTTAAAATCAGGGATGGCTGGTGCAGATAGCCCTCAAGTAGGCGTTCAGTGAAGTTCAACAAACAACATAAACATAGGCTTACCGCAATACAAGACTTGCTCATCTCTAAGAATAGGGTTAGTTAGCTCTGAATTAGCATCGTCCAAGAAAGAAATAAAAAGAACGACTATCACGCCAAATAGAAATGCTTTCATTTTGAAGTAAAATTACGCTTAGAAATAACAACTTGTCTTTATATCAGTTCAAAAATTCACTTTGCACTCAACTAGTAGAAATATGCTTACTTTTGTCATGCGCAGTTCGGAAGTCATCATTTTCAAATGAGTGGCTTTATACAGCATGACGTCATATAGAGTGTAGTAATAGTTGAGCTTCACATAGATTTCTCAAAATCCAATTAAATTTCAGAAATCCAAGCGACTGTTGCTTTTGTTATGATCAAGCTGGGACCAAGCAAAGTACAAGCGCTTGTCGCCCATGGCAACATCTTGTTTATAATATCGTGCTTTGTGAAAGTAAATGTCAAGGAAATCAAATGTATTGATTTTTCTGAAGACAAAGCGTTAAAGTAGAGGGAGAGAGATACAAACATACATGATTACCATAGGAACAGTTTCTAAGCAATAACTTCCTTGTAACATAGGATACATAAACATGGATTACATTTTTTATGTGAACTCACGAAACCTAATAAAGATTTCATGGAAAAGACTTTTCTATGTATGTTTGATTTTTCTCCCTTAAACGCAGTTCTTACGTTACTTTAGAGTCTAAAACGTAATATGGGAAATGCTTTTATAAAAGTTTGTATTTAAACTAATTAATACCTATATCAATATTTATTTATATATATATCTAAAAAATTTTCTTTCTCTCCAGGGCCGGATTAAGCTACCAGCTAAGGAAAGGAGCTAAGATAGAGCAAGGGCCCCTACATACGCATGTAGGTCTAAATTTGTCGTATATATGTATATATACAAGCAGTATTTAGAGTTTGAACATTCTCAATTAGGTAAACAAAAGCAATAAAACAAAATACATATTCACAAACAGGATATACATATATATATTTAAAGAACAACTTTATATTTGATCTGTCTATTTATAAATAGTAACTCGAAGCTGGTCTATTCATTAAATGATCATAAAACGTTATTATGAATTATGAACAACAATTACAGTCATTGGCTATTAAGAAAAGTTTTAACTGACTCTCTGGGAGCCCGAGCTATAGTTTGGTTGATTGTTCATTAACCCGGCCTTGAAGACTCTCTCTCTGGTTAAGTTTTTTATTTCAATCCAAGCAAACGTTAAGTCGTCATGGTTTCCTTTTGATTACATGAAATAAAGTTTTCAGGGATAAAGAACGTAAGTGTTCAGAATTAAATTCGAAACTTCGATAACGACTGAATAATGGATCACAAATTCAGTTAATCTTTGATGGGTGCAAAAAAAAAAGATAATATAATTTTGATCTTGTGGCTAGTCTTAGAACACAAACTAAATTTACAATAATTGTAAATATAGAAGTGATAGACTAGAGGGAAGGCAGCTAATTAACACCATCCACCGCCAA